AGTACGCATACACAGGCACCGTCTTCATCTCACAGGAAACGGTGGAGTCTCTACTTCCTGCCGCCAACCTGCTGCAGGTGAAGCTGGTGCTGAAGGAGTGCTGCAGTTTCCTGGAGAGTCAGCTGGACGCCGGAAACTGTATCGGCATCTCCCGCTTCGCCGAGACCTACGGCTGCCACGACCTGTGCCTCGCCGCCAGCAAGTTCATCTGCCAGCACTTCGAGGAGGTTTGCATTCCTCTCATTCATTTATACAGCACACTCAGAAACAACTAATGGAGTTACGACACTGATTTACAGAGGAAACTGCACATGCTTTATATCAGGTGTGAAGGTTGCTGAAAGGAAATTCAGAGCATTTCTCAGGCGGTGTTTGGCAAATCAGTGAAATGAAACACCAAACTACAACATAATATCTGCCATGAGCACAGCCACATCAGCATCACCATCACTTACAGCAGAATTATGCACAATCCAGCATAAAGTCATTCATCCTCAGTGCCTGATAGCTCCTCCCCTAATTAACAGCTCCTCCCCTTCACCAGCAACCCTTCCCCTTCATTAACAGCTCCTCTTCATTTTCAGCTCCTCCCCTTCATTAACAGTGCCTTCCCTCCAACAGTAACTCCTCCTCTTTATTTTCTGCTCCTCCTCTTCATTAACAGCTCCTCCCCTTCACCAATAACTCCTCCTCTTCATTAGCAGCTCTTCCCCTTCACCAATAACTCCTCCTCTTCATTAGCAGCTCCTCCCCTTAACCAATAACTCCTCCTCTTCATTAGCAGCTCTTCCCCTTCACCAATAACTCCTCCTCTTCATTAACAGCTCTTCCCCTTCATTTTTAACCCCTCCTCTTCATTTTCAGCTCCTCCCCTTCATTAACAGCCCCTCCCCTAATATTTTTAACTCCTTCTCTTCATTTTCAGCTCCTCCTCTTTATTAACAGCTCCTCCCCTTCATTAACAGCCCCTCCCCTTCATTTTTAACTCCTTCTCTTCATTTTCAGCTCCTCCCCTCCATTAACAGCTCCTCCCCTTCACCAGAAACTGCCCCTCATTGATTTCAGCTTATCTTTATTAATAGCTCCTCCCCTTCACCAGTACTCCTCCTCTTTGTTTTTAGCTCCTCCCCTCCATTAACAGCTCCTCCCCTTCACCAGTAACCCCTCCTCTTCATTAACAGCTCTTCCCCTTCATTTGTAACTCCTCCTCTTCATTTTCAGCTCCTCCCCTTCATTAACAGCCCCTCCCCTAATATTTTTAACTCCTTCTCATCGTTTTCAGCTCATCTTTATTAATAGCTCCTCCCCTTCACCAGTACTCCTCCTCTTTGTTTTTAGCTCCTCCCCTTCATTATCAGCCCCTCCTCTTCAACAGCAACGCCTCAACTTCATTTTCAGCTCCTCCTCTTCATCATCTCCCCTCTCCTTCGTCTGTAGCTCCTACTCATCATCTGTAGTGCCTCCCCTTTATCAGCTCCTCCTCTTCATTAACAGCTCCTCCCCTTCACCAATAACCCCTACTCTTCATTAACAGCTCTTCCCCTTCATTTTAACTCCTCCTCTTCATTTCAGCTCTTCCCCTCCATTAACAGCTCCTCCCCTTCACCAGAAACTGCCCCTCATTGATTTCAGCTTATCTTTATTAATAGCTCCTCCCCTTCACCAGTACTCCTCCTCTTTGTTTTTAGCTCCTCCCCTCCATTAACAGCTCCTCCCCTTCACCAGTAACTGCCCCTCATCGTTTTCAGCTCATCTTTATTAATAGCTCCTCCCCTTCACCAGTACTCCTCCTCTTTGTTTTTAGCTCCTCCCCTTCATTATCAGCCCCTCCTCTTCAACAGCAACGCCTCAACTTCATTTTCAGCTCCTCCTCTTCATCATCTCCCCTCTCCTTCGTCTGTAGCTCCTACTCATCATCTGTAGTGCCTCCCCTTTATCAGCTCCTCCTCTTCATTAACAGCTCCTCCCCTTCACCAGTAACTGCCCCTCATTGATTTCAGCTCATCTTTATTAATAGCTCCTCCCCTTCACAAGTACTCCTCCTCTTTGTTTTTAGCTCCTCCCCTTCATTATCAGCCCCTCCTCTTCAACAGCAACGCCTCAACTTCATTTTCAGCTCCTCCTCTTCATCATCTCCCCTCTCCTTCGTCTGTAGCCTCCCTACTCATCATCTGTAGTGCCTCCCCTTTATCAGCTCCTCCTCTTCATTAACAGCTCCCTCAATATTTTGACAAATAAATGTGT